GAAAGATAAAAATTGGGGTTGGAACTAGTGGGCAAAAATACACATAAGTCACAGCCTATCTGGACCACATATTGTAGATTGCTTCATCTAGCATATATTCCTAACCCAATTTGCTCTTCTCTGCCTCTTCTATAGACTGGGAAACATAAACACTCTTGAAGTATTTCTTCCTGTGTTAGAGGTTGACATGAGACACAGTTTTGGGCACTGGGATGTAAATGGAAGTCTGCTCTCCTTTCCAGATATAGGGGGAATTAAGGTAAGAGAGAGTGAAAAGGGGGTAGAAGTAATGGATTTTAGGCCCTTGTGAGTTCTAAGAGTTATTAAAATGAGAACAAAGAGGGTATAAGCTGGTAAAACAAGAGTTGGTGATTAGATAGAATGGAATGTTTGAATCTGCAATTACGGAGGGGTTTCCATTTACATTATCTTATTTTATTTCTATTAACATATAGTATATCATTAGTTTCGGATGTAGAGTTCAGTTATTCATCAGTTGCATATTACACCCAGTGCTCATTACATCACATTCCCTCCGTTTACTTTCTTGCTGGCAAGATTTTACCTTTGGAGCCAGGGGCTGAGGTGCTGTGGAAGACAAGACCATTGGTGGCAGAGTAGTCAAGGAACTGAGAGGCCAGGGTTTTGGAAGTGGATATAATAATCTGCAAGTAGTCTGATTATAGTAGTGACAGGGTAGCAAGACTGGTTCTGGAGATAAAAATCAAGGAACAAGGAAGAATGAACAGAGACTGGTAGGTGGCTGCACGAAGGAATAGTGGGTAGTTTGTGCAAATTAATGGGTGGAGAGGCAGATAATCATTTGGAAGGGAAAATGAACAAAGATACATACATCCTATGTCCAAACCTGGTAACTAGTGCAAGGAGCATGAGAGAAAACAGGAGACCATTTGGAAGAGTTAGAGTCCTTGGTGGGGGGACAACTTTCTTCACTGAACTTTCATAATAGTTATTAACAATGCCTCATTTACAGGTAGAATTTTTTTCCCATTAAACTGTCCAAGCCTCAGGGCAACTGTATCAACTGCGGAGTTGGTAAACTTTCTTTGACCCTAAACGTCTATACTCGCTAGCTCTCTTTTCATTTATATATATAAAAATATATATAAATTTTAACCCTGGCACATTTCAAATATAAAGAAAAATATAACCATTTACAAGCCATCCAACTTTTGTGAATCTACCCAATTTCCACCATGCATTATAACCTCCCCATTCCTATGACCTGTCCCCCAAAGGAATATAATACAGTCATTAAAGATTAATTTCGTGAAAAAAGTACTTATTGTATATTTCTAAGGCGGTAAATCAAAAACTTTAATAAACATGTCTAAACCATATATCTAAATAAAATCAACACAAATAAAAAAAATATTAGGGTACTTTGGGAACTAGAGTTTCATCTGAATTTAATTCCCTTCCCAATTTTTATAAATTACAAGATGGGGAGAGGAGAACCTGAAAGGGAATATCAACATTTAAGAAAATAATCTAACTTTATTTCACATGAATAATATAACTGGTTGAATGGAGATAAAAGAAATAGGCAAACTAACTTTGTTTAAAAGTACTTTGTCTATGTATACTTGGTCTAAAGAGAAAAAGAACCGTAAACAAATCCTGAACACAATCAGGTTTGTTTTTTACAATGCTCTTGTGTAGCAACTCCAAACTACTTGCTATGTATTAGAGGACTGAACAAATCAGTAAACAGATTGATGATAGTGGGAGCCAATTTGACTGTTGGAAGTTAACATGGAATACGGAAAAACTAGAAATACTTACTTGAAGTTGAAGGTATCCACATTTTACACATACATACATAAACATGAAAGACTGGTATCTCAATAATGAAAACACACAGCACCCAGATCTTAGTTTCTAAATACCAAACTGCTCAAAGGAATCAGGTCTCTGTAGAATCTGTGGCTGCAGCAGACCATATACAAGATAAACCCAAGATTTTATTATATCAGAAAACAAGCATTCATATTGATGATAGAGAAAAGAGACCTAGGGAAGAAGGGAAAGCTCCTCTATAGATAGCATGCCAAATGCTAAATATAAGAGGAAGGACGGAGCAAGAAAGCCATCACTTTGCAATCATAGTAATAACTGTTTCAAACTAGCAGGTGAAAGATAATGAGGTAGTTACTACATAAAGATCTCCCCACAAATTAGTTACTAATTTCAAGGGCAAAACAGCAACTTTATAGTGGAGAACCTTGAAGTCATCAGTATATTCAAGGGATCAAAACTATCACTGATAAAACATATGTTTCCTGTTGTAATGCGCTGAGACTATGTGTCACTCATGGAATATTCTTGCCACACTAATTTGGATTTAATCACAAGGAATCAAACTCATATTTAGGGATAATCTACAAAATACCCCATACTCTTTGAAGATACCAATTTCATGAAAGACAGAGAAAGGCCGTGGAACTGATCCAGATTCAAAGACTAAAGAAACACGACAACTTTATGCAGGGTATGACCCATCTTAAGATTTGATCCTGGAATAGGAAAAAAAAAAAAATTGATATAAACATATGGGACAACTGTGGAATTTGAATAAGTTGTAGATTAGAAAATATTGTAAGCAAAGTCCGGTAGTCTTAAAATATGTTTGCAAATTCCTTGACACTTCTCTTATCAAGAGGTGGAGTCCATGCTCCCTCTCCTTGATCCTAGATAGGTTTTTGTGACTGCCTCCTCAGATTCTAACACTGTAACCTCCAATGGTAGATTAGACAAGGCCATAGTACTCCTGCTGGTTTCTCTTAGGATACTCTGAGCCTCCACATAGCATCCAGTCAGTATGAAGTGGCCATGCTAAAGGGTCCACATAAAGCTAGAAAGACATGCTTGAGGGACAAAAGCTGTTTGGGTTCTCTCAGCTCAGGTGCTAGACAACTGAATGATCTGGCTGGACTCTAATCACAGTAGATACACTAAGGCTATTTAGGAATTTTGTTCTTGCATCATTCCTGAAAGTTGAGAATACATTGAAAATATAGGCTTTAAAACACTCTCAAAACATTACAAGTTTAAAAATGTATTATAATAACCCCTTTTAAAGTAATCAGATCACCTATAAGTGAAACCGTATGACAATTGTCTTTCTCAGCTTGACTTATTTCACTTAGCATAAACCCCTCCAGTTCCATCCATGTTGATGCAAATGGTGGGTATTCAGCCTTTCTGATGGCTGAGTAATATTCCATTGTATCTATAGACCACATCTTCTTTATCCATTCGTCTCTTGAAGGGCATCTTGGCTTCTTCCACAGTTTGGCTATTGTGGACATTGCTCCTATGAACATTGGGACATAAGGACTAGCATGGAGGACATTAGGAGAAGGAAGGGAAAAATGAAGGGGGGTGGGAATCAGAGTGGGAGATGAACCATGAGAGACTATGGACTCCGGGGAAACAAACTGAGGGTTTCAGAGGGAAGGGGGATGGGATGGATTGGCCTGGTGATGGGCATTAAGGAGGGCACATATTGCAGTGAGCACTGGGTGTTATATGCAAACAGTGAATCATGGAACACTACATCAAAAACTAATGAAATACTGTATGGTGACTAATAATCAGATCATATTTATACATATATGAGAATATTCTACATATAGATCACAAACTTATAGGTATGAATATGATTTGGTTACCTTTAAAGGTGGCATTAGAGATTTACATGTATATATATCTCCTACAAAACCTTATGTCTCTGGCCACTTTTCTATGCATATTCTGGGTATTTACCAATGTTAGTAACCATAAATTTACTTTTTCATTGTATTCTGCATAATATTCCACTGAATGGATAAGTCCTAAATTGTTTTGTCAGTCTGATGAATGCAAATTGTGCCATTACCAATAATGAAACAATGAACATCCTTTCATGTGGATCTGTAAATAGGTTTCATGCCCTATGGTGAGATAAGATTATTAGATTTAGCTCTAAGCTTTAGATTTATTTTTTATTTTTTAAAGATTTTATTTATTCATTTGACAGACAGCGAGAAAGGGAACATAAGCAGGGGGAGTGGGAGAGGGAGAAGCAGGCTTCCTGCAGAGCAGGGAGCCCGATGTGGGGCTTGATCCCAGGACCCTGGGATCATGACCTAAGCTGAAGGCAGACGCTTGCACCCCAAGCTCTAGATTTACATTAGATTTAGCATTAAGGAATATTTATTTAATTTTACTGTCTCATAGTTTTACTGTTTTGGTAAACAGTAATGTCACTGTAGATAATTTTTCAAAAAGCTAAAACCTCCCTAAGCCTCTCTGCCAGAGTAAACCAGGTAGCATGTCCGTGAACATCCCTCCACATATTACCTCCTTGTATGTAAGCGCATCTGTAGGTATACATATTATTACTTGGGCCACACATACTGGGAAGCCTCTAATGTAGCTTTCTCATGAATGATGGTTCTCTGTCCTTACAAACCAGGTCCTTTTTTTTTTTTTTTTTTTTTTTGGTGGCTGTGTATTAGAATATATTTATTCCACTATTTTGCTAATACTTATTTCCCTTAAAAAAATCAGTATAAACATCCTTATATACATGCTCACTTTTGCTATAATCTCTTAAACAAAGCATCTAGTGCTAGGATTGCCAGATCAAAGGGTATTTTGATATATACTGACCAGTTTATGTCCACTCCTGACAAGAGGTATTGAACACAGAATGCCCTGTCAATGGTAATCCACCTAAATTGTTACATCCCCCAATAAGAACCCAAATGGTTTCTTGCTCTGCCCTCCTTTGTTGGGGGGGGGGGGGAAGAGATGGAGGTGGGGTGTGACAAAATCAATGTCCTTGAAATCTGCCAAAGCCCCTGCCTACACAGGTCTGGATGAAGGACTGTGCATAGGAAAGGCAATCTGACCTAAGCATGAAGGGAAATAATGAGAAGAAACCAATTACTAACAATTCAAGTTTACTAAAAAACTTCTTGTCATTAGTAACTACTTTTAACACTTTCAAAGAGTAACAGTGAAATCCTACCTTAATGAATTAGGGTCCAAAATTTCCAGGCATATAAATTATAGTATGTTATTAGTTAAAAACAGTATTTTCAGTCTATAAAATACAAACTAATGATACTAAATATTACACTGTACACAAGGGCTGACATACTACAAAGAACCAGGGCCGGATGGAGGATGGCGGCCATTCACAAATTGCATCCAAATTTGCATTACTGCAGATGGCATGACATGATTTTCTGTACTTGTCCTGAAATCTCATTAAGGCTACTTGCAGGATTCCTTTTGAGTATGTTATTATGAAATCTGGGTAGGGGAGTACAATTTTCAAATACTTGTCCTAATGATAGATTTTCTCCTTGTTCAGTAATTGCTGGGCATCTATTAGGAGCCAAGCACACTTCTACACGGTAGAGATAAAGCAGTGAAAAACATCCTTCCCTACATGGAGGTTACATTGCCATTGCCGTTAATTTTACTTGTCCCTTATGATACTTTCATTAAAGTTCTGCCCCTAATCTTCATTTATAAGGCCTCTTTCCTGGGTAGACTCAGATGAATTTTGAAATTCTTTTGCGTTGCATCCTGAAGATTGGGACATTCAGAACTCAAACACTGACTGTATTTATAGGTTTTCTCTCTGTGAAATCTGATGTTTGTAAAGAATTTATCTCCCAACTGAGTCCTTAAAACAGCACTTTACAGAGCTTACTTGCATGTGAAGATTCCTTGAGGCTTCTGAGTTCTGAAGGAACTTTCCACAATTCCCACCATCGATTTTCCAGTAGAGCGGAGGATGTGAACTTTAACTGAAGGCTACACCACACCTCACATGTCTACAGATTTCCTCCAGTGTGGACTCTCTGATGGTATACAAGATGTGATCTCTGGCTGAAGCCTTTACAACAGACATCACATATGTATGGCCTTTCCCCAGTGTGGACCCTCTGATGTGTGTGAAAATGCGAGGCCTGACTGAAGCCTTTACCACACTGCTGACATGTATAGGGTTTCTCTCCTGTGTGAACTCTCTGATGAGCACTGAGCCCAGCACTCCAACTAAATTCTTTCCCACATTCCTCACATTTAAATGGTTTCTCTCCAGTGTGAATTATCTGATGAACTTGAAGATTTGACCTCTGGCTGAAGGCCTTACCACATGTATCACATTTATATGGTTTCTCTCCGGTGTGGACTCTCTGATGGGCTTGAAGATGTGAGGCCTGGCTGAATCGCTTCTGACACGCTTCACACTTGAATGGCTTCTCCCCGGTGTGGACACTCTGATGAGCTTGAAGATTTGAGGCCTGACTGAAGCCCTTCCCACACTCTTCACATTTATAAGGTTTCTCTCCTGTGTGGACCCTCTGATGATTGTGAAGATTCAAGCTCCAATTGAAGCGCTTCCCACACACCTCACATTTGTATGGTTTTTCTCCAGTGTGGACCCTCTGGTGGGCTTGAAAATACGAACTCTGACTGAAGCCTTTACCACACACATTGCAGCGAAATGGTTTCTCTCCTGTGTGAACTCTCTGATGGCTCTGAAAACTTGAGGCTGAACTAAAACCCTTCCCACACTCTTCACACTTATACGGTTTCTCCCCAGTGTGGACTCGTTGGTGGCTGTGAAGGTTAAAGCTCAAACTGAAGCACTTCCCACACTCATCACACTTGTATGGTTTCTCTTCAGTGTGGACTCTCTGATGGGTATGAAGATTTGAGCTACAACTAAAGCGTTTACCACAATCTCCACATTTGTATGGTTTCTCTCCAGTGTGGATTCTCTCGTGGGCCTGAAGATGTGATCTCTGAGTGAAGCCCTTCCCGCACACCTCACATTTGTAAGGTTTCTCTCCAGTGTGAACTCTGCAATGAATATTCAGATCAGTGCTACGACTGAAGCCCTTCCCACAACTTTCACATCGGTAGGGTTTCTCTCCTGTGTGGACAGGCAAATGGGCATAAAGATGTGAGGTCTGGTTAAAGCTCTTACCACACTCAAGGCATGAATAGGGCTTCTCCCCTGTGTGGACTCTCTGGTGAGTTTGCAGGTTTGAGCTCTGGCTGAAACCCTTCCCACACTCATGACACCAATAGCGTTTCTTTCCTGTGTAAACACTTTGCTGAATGGGAACAGCTGGGCTATAACTGGTGTCCTTCTCATGTGCACTGTAAGCGGGGGACTTCTTTCCCGAGTGTACCTGTTGATGAAGTTCAAGACTGGGGCCATCACTGAATGCTTTCTCACATTCACTACAGTGGTAGGTCTGCTGGATAAGAGGGGACACCTTACCACAGTCACTACTGTGAGCTTTGTCTCTTTTGTGCACTGTACCGTCATCATGGTGGTGTGAAATACAACTGAAAATGTTAACGTATGGAGCAAATATACATAACTGGCTTTTCATCTGAGTCTTACAACTTCTCTGATAATTCTGTGTTTCACTGAGATATATTTTACTCCAAGAATTATGAGCTCTTCCAGCCAGAAATTCTTGCTTTTCAATAATCTTGGAATGATCCTCTAGAAGATTCATGATACAGCTGTCCTCCACAGAAGCCTGAATACATATTCCTGCTCCCACTTGACAGGGGGACTCACACTGGTCGGGGAACTGAGAACTCTTTCCTTGAATATTTATCACAGAGTCGTGATTTTTGTTTAATTTGCTCACAACATGTCTCTTGATTTGCCAACATGAAAGCTCTCCCAATGAAAGGCACCTTATTCCTGCTTCATGAAGAGTCTCCACCTCATTTTGATTCCTGCCTCCTGAAAGAATAAGGATAAAGAATTAGGGACAGAAAGAGACATCAGCAAGGTGGTAAATGGAGAAGCTCCAAGCCCTTGTTCCCCAAAGAAAACATTAAAAAAAAAAAAGGCTAGCTGAAAAAGATCTATAGCAAACAAGGGACCTTCCAGTAGAAAAGACACACTTAAAATGGGAGGAAATTTGGGATCAGCCCAGAGTGAGGGTTTAAGGTCTTCTCAGGTCTTTACGGAGTATGTCTTACCTTGGGGCTGTGTGGGTTTTTCCCCATTCTCCATATGCAGCTACTTTTAAAGGTAGTGGCAGTTTTACTTATGGTAAGGTGCAGTCTGAAGGATGCAGGAGCCCACCTCGCAATTCCCTACTTCAAACTGGGCAGAGCAGAGCAGACTTTATTTGCACTGGTCTAACCTGTTTGGGGGCTGCTGGAGGGACCAGTGTCTGTTCTGCCTGACTTGGAGACAGAACCTCGTGGGAGCTGCAGGGGGATTACAGACCTGCAGAAGGCTGGGGAGAATGATTACGTGTGAAGGAATGCAAGAGAACACCTATGTCCCCATAGAGCTAGGGTGACCATCTTTGGGAGGTTCAGACCCTTCTAAGCATCTTTGTATATGATAGAATTGAAAAAAACCACTCAGGCCCAGGCAAGACACAGGCTCAGAACATTCCTGAGAAGACCTTAAGCCCTCACCACGGGGAGACCCCGGGGTTCACAACACACCCTGCACATTAGTGAAGGTCTTCCCTGGAAAAAAGAGCTGGTCTCAAAAGCATACAAAAAACCCCACAAAAAGACAGGAAAAATATGGCCTATTTGGAGGAATAAAGTGGCAGCAACGAATAGTCTGTGACGGGTATCAGCAATATCAGACAAGGTCTTTAGAACTGTCTGAAATACACTCAAAGAGCCACACGAGAGAGCGACGTAAGCAGGAAGACAGAATGGGATGGTCCAGCCCTCAGTACCACATAGGAGCAACAGATAACCAACACCACACAGACAGCAATGACTTTGTGAGAACTCTGAAAACCAGTTAAGCTGCAGCAACTAATACAATGTTTAACCAAGTAAAAGATGTACTCAAAGCTCTACAGAATTTCCCAGAGTTTTTGCCTGCCCCACCCCTCCTGGTGAGTGTGCGGCAAGGGTGGGAGGAGGCTGCCCAGTTCCTGGTTGCAAACAAGGAAGCCTAACTCCTACAAAGGAAAATATCTCCAAAAAACCAAACCTACCAGAAAAGACCCCAAATAGCCAAAGGAATACTGAAAAAACAAAAACAAAAAAAACCCCAAAGCTGGAGGCATCACAATTCAGACTTCAAGCTGAATTACAAAGCTGTAATCATGACATACAGACTCCTCCAGAAGAGTGAATAAGAGTGACTACTTCCCAATGTATTTTATCAGGCCAGCGTTACCCTGACACCAAAATCAGACAAGAAAAGACAACTACAGATCCATACAAAGCTTTGCCAGCTAAATCCAATGATGTATAAAAAGGGCACTAAATCATGAAGGAGTGATTGTTTCGAGAATGCAAGGTTGGTTTAACATTCAAAAATCAGATGAAACACTTTCCTCTATAGATCAGGAACCGGGCATAATCACAGATCACAACAAATATAATAATAATGAAAAAGTCTGAAATATTGTGCCAAAAGGTGACACAGAGAAATGAAGCGAGCAAATGCTGTTGGAAAAACAGTGTTGAAAGACTTGATGCAGGGCTGCTATAAACCTTCAATGTATAAAAATAGAGCTACTATGACCCAGCAATTGCACTACTGGGTATTTACCCCAAAGACACAGATGTAGTGAAAAGAAGGGCCATATGCACTCCAGTGTTCATAGCAGCAATGTCCCCAATAGCCAAACCGTGGCAAGAGCCGAGATGCCCTTCAACAGATGAATGGATAAAGAAGATGTGGTCCATATATACAATGGAATATTACTCAGCCATCAGAAAGGATGAATACCCAAAGTTTATATCAACATGGATGGGACTGGAGGAGATTATGCTAAGTGAAATAAGTCAAGCAGAGAAAGTCAATTATCCCTGGTTTCACCTATTTGTGGAAAATAAGGAATATGCAGGACATTAGGAGAAGGGGGGAAATCAGAGGGGGAGATGAACCATGAGAGACTATGGACACCGGGAAACAAACTGGGGGTTTTGGGGGTGGGGTGGAGGGATGAGTTAGCCCGGTGATGGGTATTAAGGAGGGCACGTATTGTATGGAGCACTGGGTGTTATACGCAAACAATGAATGATGGAACACTACATCAAAAACTAATGATGTACTGTATGGTGACTAACATAAAAAAAAACAAAAACAAAAAAACCCACAAATATCAGAAGTGCAAAAAACCCGGTATCTGTGAAGTTCTGTAGAGCAAGGTACGCCTGTATTCAAATAGCCAACAGTTACAGGTACCTGCTTTCTGAAAGTTTGTGTTAGTCCACTTCATTCTGACAAAAACCTCCATTTGTACTGGCGTTTGCTAACCAAAAGAAATCCAAAGAGGATCTTTCACTTTTATGAAAATAGGTGAAAAGTGAACATTGAATTTAGTGTGTGTTTTGCAGTGAGCCCTTGTAGACCCCGCGTGTACCCGGGGCGGCAGACAGTGAGGCTCTCAGGGACTCCATTCAGCCACTACGGCTCTGAACTGTGTCTGGGGGCATCTGTGCTTTATCTCAACTTATTCTGTGCATCCACTAGCAAGATGTGTCTTAGGTACCAAAAAAGCCTAAGAGAGGTTATTTTTGGGGTCTGGGAACAGCCAAAAATTTTCCATAGAAATTATTGGTAATTGTTTCTTTATGCCATTTTGTTTACCAAATATATTTTTTATTCATGCATATTTTTATTGATATTGCATTGGCTGTACATATTAATCTGGGAAGGACTTTTTTTTTTTCTTTTAAAGATTTTATTTATTTGACAGAGAGATAGCGAGAGCAGGAACACAAGCAGGGGGAGTGGGAGAGGGAGAAGCAGGCTCCCCGCAGAGCAGGGAGCCCGATCCGGGACTCGATCCCAGGACCCTGGGATCATGACCTGAGCCGAAGGCAGACGCTTAACGACTGAGCCACCCAGGCGCCCAGGACTGACTTCTTTAAGCTATTGATTGACTCTTCCCATTCAGGACCACAATATGTCTCTTCACTGATTCTGGCCATCCTTCATAGCCTTCAGGAAAGTTTTATAATTGCCTTCATATAAATCTGGCATATTTCTAGTTAATCCCAAAGAGTTTTATCTTTTTTTGTCATTGTTGCTGTTATTTTTCCATAGGAACCCTCTACTTTCGGAGAGCAGGGGAAACCTGTACATGAAAGACGTTCAACAATACTAATCATCAGGTAAATGCAAATCAAAACCACAAGGAGATGCCACCTCATGCCTGTTAGAATGGCTAGCATCAGACAAGAGGTTATAAATGTTGGAGAGGATGTGGAAGAAAGGGAAGCTTGTGCACTGTTGGTGGGATTGGAAACTGGGGCAGCCAGTATGGAAAACAGTGTGGAGGTTCCTCAAAGGATTTTAAGATTTTATTTATCAGACAGAGAGCATGCAGGCACACGCACAAGCAGGGGGAGCGGCCGGCAGAGGGAGAAGCAGACTCCCTGCTGAGCAGGGAGCCCGATGGACCCTGGGATCATGACCTGAGCCAAAGGCAGACGCTTAACTGACTGAGCCACCTAGGCGTCCCTCCTCAAAGCATTTAAGACAGAACTACCACATGCCCCAGCATTCCACTTCTGGGTATATATCTGAGGGAAACAAAATCAGTCTGTGGGAGAGAGATCTGCACCATGTTCACTGCAGCAGCATTTACAATAGCTAGCATACAGAAACAAGTGTCCATCGATGGATGAATGCGTAAAGAAATTGTGTGTAAATGGGGGGGGATATTATGCAGCCATAAGGAAGAATGAAATCTTGCCATTATGACAACATAGATGGACCTCAAGGGCATTATGCTAAGTGAAATAAGTCCGACAAAGACAAATACTGTATAATCTCTCATAGGTAGGGAAAAAAAAACTCAAAAAAGATAAAATTTGTGGTTACCAAGTATGGGGGAAATGGATGAAAGGGATCAAAAGGTCCCTACTTCCAGTTATAAGATAAATAAGTACTGAGGATGTAATGTAATGATGAATATAGTTAACACTGCTACATAGTATATTTGAAAACTGCTAAGAACGTAAATCCTAAAAGTTCTCATCAAAGTTTTTAAAAAATGGTTATGTGAGGTAATGGATTTTAACTAAATTTACTATGGTAAATCATTTTGTAATACATGTAAATCAAGTCATTATGATATACACCTTAAAATTTTACAGTGCTTAGGTCAATTATATCTTAAAAAAGAAAAAGACACAAACTGAGGGTTTTAGAGGGGAGGGTGTTGGGGGGATGGATTAGCCCCATGATTAAGGAGGACATGTACTGCATGGAGCACTGGGTGTTATATGAAAACCATGAATCGTGGATCACCACATCAAAAACTAATGACGTATTGTATGGTGACTAACATAATAAAATTAAAAAAGACATCAATATAGATACTATGGACATGAAAAGAATAAGACACCATGAATAACTATGCCCACATCTAATGGACCAATTCCTTGAAAGACACAATTTGCCCAACTCAGACAATCTGAATAGAGCTAAATCTTTCAAAACAGAAAGCACCAGACCCAGATGGGTTCAAGTGTCAATTCTACCAAACAGTTAAGAAAGGGATTATACTAATTCTCTACAAGAGCAGAGGGAATGTTTCCTAACTCATTCTATGAGGCCATCATTACCCTAACACCAAAACCAAAGACACGACAAAAAAACTACAGACCAATATGTTTCATTAACACATGGACTCCGAGAAACAAACTGAGGTTTTAGAGGGGAGGGGGATGGGGGGATGCGTTAGCCCAGTGATGGGTATTAAGGAGGGCACATACTGCATAGAGCACTGGGTGTTATAT